ATGAACAGAACTTTAATTTCTCTGGATTAAATGCCCAAGTATACAGTTGTTGGGTTTTTTGTTTTGTTTTGGTTTGTTTGTTGTTATTGTTGTTTTGGTAAGTACATGTTTTGTCTTATAAGAAACTACCAACCAGGTACGTGTATTGCCAGCTCCTCTAGAAGCTGTGGCAGGAGGATCACAAATCCATGAATTCCAGACCAGCCTGGAAAACACAGTAAGACCCATCGAAAGAAAGAGAGAGAGAGAGAGAGAGAGAGAGAGAGAGAGAGAGAGAGAAAAACATACCAAAAAACTGCCCAACTATTTTCCAGAGTAGTTGTTCTGTTTTATAATCCCACCAGGAATATATGAGATCCAGTTTCTCTGTATTTGTTTCAGCATATGATATTATCATTATTTTTAAATTATAGTAATTGCTCTTCTAATAAATGTAATATCCCATTGTGGTTTTCAATTTGGTTTTTTCCTAATGGCTAATGATGCCGGATATCTTTTCAAGGGCTTATTTTCCATCTGAAATCTCTTTTGTAGTGAAATATATGTTCCTTTGCCCTTCCCAGTCATTGCCTTTGCATGTTTGTAAAAATTTAATTTTCCATAATCATGTCGGTCAGTCCCACTGATTTATGTTTTCTGGCCTCTTGCCAGTATCACATGGCTGTAATTAGTGTAGTTTTAATAATCCATCTTAAGGCCAGGTTGTGGCAATATTCCTTTTGTTTTTAGTTTGTATTCTAGTTGTTGTGCCTTACCATCTAAATTTTAAAGTCACATTGTCTCTATCTATAAAATTCCTCTAAAGAGTTTGATTGAAATTGCATTACATTACATTTATAGATCAATTTGAACATAACTTGCAACCTGACAATATTGAATCTTTCAAATCATAAACATGGTATGACTCCTCCATTTATTTAAATTCTATTTAATTTTTTGGTGCTATTTTATAGCTTTCAGAATACAATTACCGCATATCTTTGGGGATTTTATCTGTTTTGTATTTATATCTAAGTAGTTCTATTTTTGAGGTATGGGAAATGGTAATTTTAATTTATCTTCCAGTTTTGATTGCTGATTTAGCGATAACTGATTCCATGTGTTAACCCTAAATCCTGCGACCATGCTAGATTCACTTACTAGTTTGAGCAGTCTTTTCTTGTAAATTACTTGACATTTTTTATGTAGACAGATATAGCACCTATGAAAAAGGACAATAGGCCTTTTATTTCTCTTGTCTTAGTGCACTGGGAAATACTTCTAGTTTCAATGTTATTAGGACCAGTGAAAGGAAACATCACTGACTTTTTCACAGTATTAGGGAGAAAATATATTCTTTTTCCTCATTTAAAATGCTGTAAACTATATACTTTTTGTAGATACCCTTTTTCACATTAAGAAAATTCTCTTCTATCCCTGGTTTGCTATTAGGATTGTTCATGAATGGGTGTTAAAATTTGTCAAATATGTCTTTCTAAATCAGCTGATAGTCTTCCTCAGTTTTTCTTTAGCCTGTTAATATAGTGAATAGCATTTATTAATTTTCAGACATTAAACCTGCTTGCACTCCCAGACTAAACCACACAAGTTGTGGTATATTACTCTTTTACTCTACAGCTGGCGATCCTTTTTGTGTTTGCGTTTGTAGGGGATACTGATTTGTAGTGTGGTTTTCTTAGGCTGTCTTTGGTTTTGCAGATTAGTAATGGTCTCGTAACATGAGTTCCGAACTGTTCATTTGCCTACTTTCTGAATGATGTTGTGAAGAATTGGTGCTATTCCTTTCTAAATGTCTGCTACAATTTACTAGTGAGACCATCTGAGCCTGGCATTTTTTAGAAATTTTAAAGAATTTTAAAAATAGATATACAAATATTCAGTCTCTCTATTTCTTGAATGAATCTTCTGTGATAGTTTGGAACTTTCAAGAAATTGGTCCATTTCCTCTAACTTGTGTAATTCATGTGTATAAGGGTTTTTTTTAAGTATTTTTTAATTACTTTAGAAGACACAGGGGATTGTGGTGATGTCCCCCCACTGCATCCTGATAGTAATGTCTTGACTCCTGGTTTGTGTCATAACTTTGTTTCTTAGCTGAAGGTTTATCAATTTCACTGATATTTTCAAAGAAGTAGATTTTGGTGGTATTTTTTGTTTTGGTTTGGTTTGGTTTGGTTTGATTTTTTGTGCCAGTGATTGAACTCACAACCTGCAACTTATCAAGCAGGCACTTGTGCTGCTGAGCTAAATCCCCAGGTCATTTATTCTTTATTGTTTTATCTTAATTTCACTGATTTATTCTCATATTTATATCATTTCTTTACTTTGACTTGCCCTGGATTTTATTTTCTATTATTTCTCTATCTTATTAAGTTGGAAGCTTAGATGAATAACCTGAGATCTTTCTTCTTTTCTGATGTGAAAATTTAATGCTACAGACTTCCCTTGAAATATTTCTTCATAGCACACATTTTGATATGCTGCGTTTTCATTTTTACTGAGTTTAAAATGTTTTCTAATTTCTCCCAAAGACTTCCTCTTTGGAAGAATTATTTGGAAGTGTGTACTTAATCACCAAGTGTTTGAAAATTTTTCAGTTACTGTTTTTAGCTTCTAGTATAATTGTATTATGTCAGGGACCAGCTTTATATCATGCTGGTTCTTTTAAAGTGGTTTAAAGTTTGTTTTATGACATAGGATACAGCTGGTCTTGGATATTCTACAGGCACTTGAAATGCGTTTGTATTCTCCTGTCATTTCATGAGGTATTCTCCAAATAGTAAATAAATCCTCTTAATCAATGGTATTATTCACTTATTGTGTATATTTGCTAATTTTCTATTAAATCTCTCAATTAACAGTACTTAATAGAGGTTGTGCTAAGCTCTTCAACTGGGATTTTAGATTTATGCATTTCTCCTTCAGTTCTTTTTTTCTGTGGTTTTCTATCTTATTGGTACATTTTAGATATACATAACGATCACATTCATCATAGAAAACTTGTACCTGTACATGATATATCTTCCTTCTTTTTTTCTCATTCCTCTCCCCTCCCTTGAACTCCCTTCCCCTCATTTACAAAAGGTTGTTTCCATTTTTCCTCTATGCTTTTATTTTCTTGACTTTCCTTTCCCCCTCCACCTTCCCTTGTTCTCCTTCTCATATGAAAATTTTCTTCCCATTTCCCAATATCTGTTATACATTTTGGTCCTTTCTTACACTTTCGATTTCTCACAGCAGAGAAGCCATGCAGTGTTTAAACATGGATGTCCAATTTATTTCACCTAAGAGTAGAGTCTCAAGGTGCATCCACTCACCTAGAAATGTCTCGGGCTTATTCTTTATCATCAAATCATACTCCATTGTATTTTTTTAAAGCATCTTCATGATCTACTCATCGGTTGATGGGCATTTGGGTTGTTTCCAAGATTTAGCTGCTATCTGTGCTGGTATAAACATGGGGTGCATGTATATTTCTGTGGTATGATGATTTTAATTCTTCTGGGAAAGTACACAGAAAGAGAAGAGTTGAGTCAAATGGTACCTATAGTCCTAGTTTTTAAAGAAATCTCCACATTGATTTCCACAATGGTTGCACCTGTTTCCTCCCTCCCGCAGTGGAGAAGGCTTGTTACTTTTTCTCCACAGCCCCGCCAGCATTTGTTATTTGTTGTTTTCCTGATAATTTCCATTCTTTCTGGAGTGAGATGGAATCTCAGCATTGAATTAATTGGCATCTCTCCAATGACTCAGTTTCTTTGCTCATTACTTCATATTTTCGCATTTATTTCAAAATTATTTGCCCTCACTTTTTGGAGCATGGCTATGGTGTTTATCTTAAAGTCATCCTCTGCCTTTGTGTCTTTGCAGGACTGGCATCTGCTGATGATTACCTTTTCCTTTTGCAAGTGATTTTCCTGGGTCTTTTGTGGAGTAGTTTGGGATTGTAGCCTGTGCCACGCTGTACAAATCTACCTGCATGGGCGCCACCCAGTGGCCAGACTCAGATTGGGCCATTGGTCTTGCCAAGTCTTTATGAAAGACTGTGATATGATGTTTAAGACAACATCTGGGGGGCTGGGGATTTAGCTCAGCGGCATAAGCGCCTGCCTTGCAAGCAGGCAGTCGTGAGTTCGATCCCTGGTACCGATAAAAACGAAAAAGACAAAAAAAAAAAAAAAAGACAACATCTGTGCATGCCGAGCTCAGAGGTGACCACAGAGTTCATCTACTGCTTTGAGGAATTGCCCTCTACTGTCCCTTCCTCTTTATGGCCCACTTTCTGGTCCTCTGACCAAAAAACTAACAGCTTTGGTTTCTTTATTCTGCCGTGTACTTCCTCTCTCTGTATTTGCATTTGGGACCACTCAGCAGAAAGCAGACAGAGATAAGACAATGAGTGTTTGCCTCTGCACTCTTGGAATCATAGCACTTCTGATTGGAGGAAAAGCCTTAGCTAGCAGCCTGACCAGCAGCATCACTGCTACCGACAGAATTGCCTGGGTGCAGAGTCAGAAAACAAGAGGAAAACACAATATCAGGGATCCCTCTTTTCCCTCAAACCGCCCCCATTTCACTCCCCATGGAGAGATCTCTTGAGCGCTTCTCTGCTGCAGCCATTTCGTACTTCTGGGTTGGGAGAGGCCTTTGCATCCAGTCTAGCTGAAGCCAGAAAAGGAAAGAGAAGGCCAGTTTGGTAATGCTTTAAATCCTGGTCTCCTTCCACTGTTTTCCGTCTACTGCTGCAAATAATCTTCCCTGTCATTCTGCCCAGGATGGATAGTTTCATTCAGGGAGACAAGCGCAATGTCCTGACTCCACCTGCTTTGTTGTTATTTCAGTTATTTGGGGAAAAAAAAGAAAAGAATTACTTGTATATTCAAAAGAAATCTCTAAAATGAATGAGTTCCTGGCAGCCTGGCTGAGATAGCATGTTCTCTCTCTCTCTCTCTCTCTCTCTCTCTCTCTCTGTCTGTCTGTCTGTCTGTCTGTCTCTGCAGGGACGCAGCTGACCGTGGAGGTCCACCCTCGAGATGCCATGCCCCAGTTTCTCAAGAAGTTCTCCTTGGCTAAACGTATGTATGCACAGCGCAGCTCGTGGCGGAGGGGCTGGCAGGGAAGATTGGAGGAAGCAGGGTGGGCCAGCCTTCAGCCTGGGGAAAGAGAAAGATTAGCCTGGCCCTGCAAACTTGGAAAAAGCAGCTTTGTATTGGGGGACTCTCCACACCCAGGCTCTGCTGCTCTGCATCTCTGAAATTAGGCCTGGGTGACACAGGTAGATGAGGGTCCATTTTGACCCCAGAGTGGTGCTGATGTTTTTAGACACCATGTGTTGATTGTGTAAGAAGAGTGTGGACAATGCTAAGGCATTTCCATTCATTGATTTTATCATCAATATTATTATTATTATAACAGTATTATTGTCACCTTTTTTTTAGATCAGCAAAGTGAGGTTCAGAAAAGCAGAGTATTAGCTCAAGCTACCCACCTAGGAGGTGGATCAGAACTCTGATCCAACCCTGAAGCCACCGGGCTTAGCCATGGTACTTGGCTGATTCCGCACACAGCACAAGCCAGGCCGTCGGCCCTCCTGCAGTGCCTTGCAGAGCTTGGCCCTGAGTGTATCCATCTCATGACTAAACAGGCAACTCCAGGGGAACGCAGACCAGGGAATAAAGGCTAGCTACTCTTTTCAGCCTTCTTCATCCCATCAAAGGTGGGGGTAGTAACAAAACCCCACTGTTTCTCAGAGTGGTCTGTGTGTGTTTGCAAACTTTTGTTGTTATATTTACAACCTAAAGTGATCATAAAGCACTTTGCCTTGGTACCACCCCCACACCTCCATCCCCACCCCACCCCAACCTACCACCTCCAGTTCTGCCTGTTTTCCATCAGGGACCCAGAAATCCTGACCTGGTTTCAAGTCAGCAGGAAAAGTTCCTTTTCATTGCCCCACAGAGCCTAACTATGGGCAGTCACGTGGCCTTAACTGTCCCAGAGTAACAGGATTCAGCTGTCATTTGATAACTACAGTTCTTGACCTTTCTGGATCCCAAGCACCATCTCGACTGCCTTCCCCTCCTCCACTGTCATTTACCCAGGGTCTTTGTCCTGGGTTATCTGTTCAACCTCTCAGCACACCCCTGGTATTCAAGGTGTCAGGAGGATGAGAGGACGAGGGCAGAAGCCCCGCACTCAGGGTGGGTCTGCTCCACAGGCCGGAGCACCTCCTGCCTCTGCTTGCTGACTGCAGCTCCCTTTCTTTCATTCTGCCCTTGGTCCCCATTCTTCCCCTGTCCCACTGCTCACCGAGATCCCAACAGCAGTTTGGTGGAGGGCGGGACAGGAGCAAAGGCTTGTGAAAAGGTGTGCAGAGAAGCGTTCAGAATCAAGACCTGCCATGTGGAGAATCATCAGAACTCACATTTCTTTTCCTTCTAACATGACTCTACTTCTGACTTTTGGGATATTGCAGGCTTACAAGGTGATAAAAATGGAAACACAAGACCCCGGCAGCCTGGAAACAAAGATGCCCATGGTGAGTGCCAGCTCCTCCCTAGGGCCATGCTCAAAAGAATCTATTGTCAGCCTCGTAGGCCAATATTGGAGCAACTGGCAGGGGCTCCAGAGTCTGGGGCCACCTCTGAATTTGGAAGGCAGAGTATCATGACTGATGGACTATGTCTTCTATGGTCACAAGTGGAGAAGGCAAAAGGTCTCACACCAGAGATCACTGCAGAGCTAAAATTTAGCAATAATAAAACTGCCCAATGCAAAAAAAAAACCATTAAAAATGAATTCTGAATTACAGTAACTTTAAACGGAACGTCAGATGTGTATGAGGCAGGAGACAAGTAAATGGGCAGACTGAGATGGAAGTAGAGACTAAATGGGAATGGATAAACCAGATTGGAATCCTGCTTTTCCCTCACTTGCCTTCCCTGGGCCTCAGTTTCCCCCTTAGTAGGGCAAATACCACTTAAGCCTTAGTTCAGTTCTGCACTTCCTCCTACCCTTTTACTTTAGTATTAGAATAATTTAGTTAATCTTACTGGTGTCTTACATATATTTGTGCAAAGTCATATTTGGGTATTACATAATCTCAGAAGGTAGTTTTCATGAGATACAAATCACTATAGATTTTTTAAAGTCCTTTTTTTATTACATAAGGGTCATATTTTTACAAGAGTACTTTTAGAGAGCTAAGGGATACAGTTCAGTGGCACAAATGCTTGCCCGGTAAGCACAAGGTCTTGAGTTCAATTTCTGGTACCTAAAAAAAAGTACTTTTAGAATATCAATGCATTTCTTTTAGAATGTATCACTTTTAGAATATCAATGTATAATATGAAATATTAAATAATATCAAATAAAACTAAGAAAGGAGAAAACTAGTAAAATAGAGTCTCCGACTCCATTTTAGAAATGCCATCCCTCTTCTCTAGGCAAGCAGAGGGTGACACCGCGAGGAGATGTGTTAATTTGAAGTCCACCGTGTAGTCACTTAGGTTACCTGATGGCTCCTGAGAATTGGGGACACGCAGCAGGAGGCGGGAAGCATGATCCTTCTTCTGAGGGGCTGGATAGCGGGTGGCTTTTTTGGACCCCACAAGGCAGAGGTCGATGATGATCTAAGTCCCAGTGACCAGCAAAATATCCCATCGACAGTACCAGAGGGGTGAGCAAGAGCCAAGATGGGGCTAGTCCCTGAGTTCCAGCTCTGCCTCCCAATGCTGACTGTGGCTCTGCTGGGTCCCATGGGTGATCCAGGCAGCTGCTGGCCATGGGTCGGCATCAATCTTGACTTCCTTCCTCCCTGCATCTCTGTCCCAGTGACATAATTGGAGGCCCAGTCTCTGAGCAGGAGGCACATAAGAGAGGCCTGAATGAGTGGGTGACTGTGAGGCCTGCCTCCCCTGCCCCTGTTCGCAGCACTTCTAGCACCAGGACACCACACCACAGATGGCTTTGTTGGAGTGCTCCAGGCTCCAGCTGGCCACGGACAACAGAGGACACTTGTCTGGGTGCCAAGCAAGCCTCACCCCAGCACATGTCCATGGCACAGACCGGCCCAGTGGCCAGCAGCATTGTTTAGGCACTCCCATAGGAATCCCCAGAAAACTAAATGGCAGGGGAGGGAATTCCATCTAGGAATTCCGTCTCGGAATCCCATCATCAGTTTGTCTGGTAACTGCAATGCAGCACTGACTGAAGTGAAGCCAGGTTTTAAATGCTGATTTCTCAAGATCTGCAAAATAAGCTCCTCATCCCTGTAGGTCTTCAAAAGGACCACAAGAGCTACCATGGCCCCTAAACTAATTAGACCAAGAAACCTTCTAGGAACTCCAGCTCTTGGGACCAGTGTTTCAGGCTTTGGGAATTTTGTTAGCAACTAAGGGGTCACAGAGCTTCAAAGAGCTAGCAAGCCCTGAGCCAAGCATCCCTCCATGGGGTTCTCAGCTGCTGATAGAACCTCCCTGTGTTTCCAGCCTACCCTTGGGACCGGTCCAGCTTAAAGTCCATGCCCCTGGACCCGCAGCAGTTTGAAAAACTGGACACCTACGCCTCACAGGTAGGAGAGCTGGCCCTCTGGCCAAGGGCCCCCAAGCCTCCCTCGTTCCCTCCTGCAGATATTATGAGTACTGAAATGGACGGCCCAGGTTGCCTTTTCACAGCACAAGGAACAGAAGACCTGGGCACAGAGGCCTGCCCAGGATCCAGGGTCACTCCTTTCCCCAGCATCCTGTGGTTCGGAGCCACACTGTTGACAGGCTCCTCCGGCCAGCCCTGCCTTGTCTTGCCCCTGCCCATCTGGACATCCCTGCCTGCTGAGCTATGCCAGGCCAGGGAAGGGAGGGAGAGGATGGGAGAAGACCATGAGTGTAGATGGCCAAAGTCCCTGTGACCATGGCCACACCCACTCCAGACTTTATGAGCTGCCACCATCTCCTGCCTCAGGACCCGGGCCTGTCTAGGTGGTTGGGAGAATCAGAAGTGATCCTCCAGAGGGGGCTGGAGGCCTCAGCCTGACTCTAATTGGTGGAGGATGGAAGAGAAGGTGGACCAAGATGCCCCAGGAGGCTAGCAGAGAGGGGAGGCTGGTTATGCAGGGCTAAGGACAGGACAGGAAAGGTGGTGGCTGAGGAAGGGCAGTCTCTGCAGAGCAGGAGGCTGGGACCAAAGCCAGCATAGAGATGGCTGAAGCCAGCAAGAGGAGCAGGGCCTCAGCTGTAGGCAATTTCTCCCGGCCCCATGGGAAGCTAACTCCAGGCTGTCTGTGGAGACTAAAGGAGAGCGTGGTCCAGAGTCTGAGGATGATGGGACATGTGGTAACAGAAGGGATGGTACAGACTACTGGCCAGGCCAGTGCCAGGAGCTCAGCTGAAGCCAGAGACACAGCCATAGAGCAGTGAGCGGTCAGCAAAGGCCAAGAAGAAGGTGCACAGGAGCAGGCCACAGAATGCCTGTCCAGGGTTAATCAGGACTCAGGGATGTAGTGGGGGGTCTCGATGTGTCGGACACTGTTCTAGGCCCTGAGACAGCGACAAGGTAAAAAAAAAAAGAAAAGAAAAGAAAACACAGAGTCAGGGCATCCATGGAAGAAATGAAGCCCAAGACCATGGGAGAGTAGGAGAAAGAGGGGCCCACAGGTCTCCATGAGGTCAAAGCACCAGCATGGCAGGGATGACTGGAGGTGCCTCTCGCAGTTCCAGTGAGAGCAAGGTCGGAGAGACCTTCAGGGTGCAGCTGGTGACGCAGGCACCCACTGCACGTGTAAGGACCAGTTGCCTCAGTTTCTCTAGAAAGTTAACCAGGATCAAGGCTGCCTTTCCACAAGTCCCAAGCCAGTTTTCCCTGGAGGTCCCTGAAAAAAAGGCTAATTCATTCTTTTATCATTATTACCATGGTGATTTCAAGATGTTACACATATTTATGTGTAACATAAAATTTTCCATTTTAGCCAAGTATAATGGCACATGCCTGTAATCCCCAGCCCTCAGGAGGCCGAGGTAGGAGGCTCACCACCAGTTTGAGCCCAGCCTTGATTACAGTTCAAGGCCAGTCTGAACTATACAGGGAGATCCTAGCTCAAAGAACAAAACAAACAAACAAACAACTTGATATTTTAATCATTTTAGTATAAAATTCACTGGTATTAATTATATTCACAATGTACAACTGTCACTATCTATTTGCAAACCCTTTCATCATCTGCAGCATAATAAATCTGTCCTCATTAAGGAATGATTTTCCTTTCCCCTTCCTCCAGCCCCCCCCCCCCAATCTTTACTTAGTTTGTGAATTTGCCTATTCTGGATATTTCATTTAAATGGAATCATCCACCATTTGTCTTTTTGTGTCTTGCTTACTTCACTTAGCGCCATGTGTTCATTCTTTCTTTTCCTGGTTGAATAATACTTCACTGTGCATGTATTACACACTATCTGTTCCTCCACGGGTGGATATGGTCGTTGTTTCCCTCCTTTGGCGCTATTAGCGGACAAGTGTCTGACTGATTTCCGGCCTTCAGTGCTTGGGGTGTATGTATATCTTGGAGTGAAACTGCTGGATCACATGGTAATTGTCTGCTTATGTTTTTGAGAAACCACACAGTGTTTTTCACAGCAGCTGCACCATTTCACATTCCCACCACTAATGTAGACATCCTACAGGTATAAAAGTGCCATGTCACTGTGACTTTGACTGGCACTTTTCTCATGACAAATGATGGTAAGGATTTTTCCCATGTGGTTATTGACCATTTGTGTATCCTCTTTGGAGGAATTTCTGTTTCATCCTGTCCTTTATACATTTTTGAGTAGAAGTGTCTTTTTGCTGAGTTGAAAAAGTTCTTTACATATTCTAAATACTAAATCCTTGTCAGGTATATGACTTAAAATATCTTTCCCCATGGTCCCAAACTGTCCTTTCACTTTGTTAGTAATATCTTTAAGGTACAATCGGGGTATGGTGGCTCATGCCTATAATCCCAACACTCGGGAGGCTGAGGCAGGAGAATCGTTGTGAGTTCGAGACCAGCCTGGGCTACAAAGTGAGCTTAAAGCCTGCCTGAACTGCATAGAGAGACCCTGTCTCAAAAAATATAAAATAAAATTTAAAAATAAATAAGGTACAGAATCTTTTATTTGAATGAACTCTGTTTTTCTTTTATCATTCAATATCTTTAATGTCATGTCTAAAAATTCATTGCCAAAATCTAAGATCATGTTGACTTACCCCAGTATTTTCTTCTAAGAATTTTATGGGTTAAACTCTTATATGTGAGTCTTGATCCATTTCAAATTGATCTGTGTATGCGGTGTGAGGTGGAGGTCCAGCTTCATTCTTTAGCACATGGGAATTCAGTGTTGCAATGCGGTTTGTTAAAGACACTGTTGTTTCTCCTGTTGAATGCATGTGGTACCTTTACCTCCGTTCTGTTCCATTATTCTACATAATCCTTCTGCCAGTACCAACCTGCTCTGATTAGCTTTATGATAAGTTTGGAAATGTGCTGGAGCCATCAACTTTATTCTTTTTTTCAAACTTTCTTTGTCTTTGCCCATTGTAATTCTACATGAATTTGGGGATTGGTTTCCCATTCCAAGAGCTACTGGGGTTTTGATAAGGGCTGTGTTACATCCATAGATTGTTTTTGGAAATATTAACATAACTAGAGGCAGCCACAGCTCCTCTGGGTACCACCGTGGCCTCAGGATCTCCAGAGAGGAGCTGTGGTGGCTCTGGGGCTGGGGATTTGTGGTCAGCCCCTCCTGCCCTGGCTCCCCCATCCCCATGTGATTTATCTCCAACCATCCCTGTCCCTGTGCACCTCTTCTTCAGCTTCCCTGTCTGGAGGAATAACAAGACTGGCTGAAAGTGTCAGAGCTGAGGTTAGCTGGGGCCTGGAAGGGCTCCGGGAGAGGGAAACTGTATATGAGAAGAAAGTATGCAGACATGGGTGGTGTCCATGGTACAGGGTGGGGAGGCAGCCTAGGTCAGATTTTGGGGGGCTTTGTAGGTCAGTGTAAGCTCTGCACCGGCTCCCTGCTCTCTGCTTGCCTCACACAAAAGGCCTTGCTCCAAACTCCCCCAGACTCTGATGCAGCATGGCTTTCCTATTCCCCAGGTAACTGTCAAGAGTGGCCTGGATGAACTGGTGAGTGACCTGCTCCAGGAGGCCCACAGTGATCTGGAAAGGGTCCGAGCCATCTGGATCTGGATCTGCCACCATATAGGTAAGCCCACCTGTGCTGCGGTGGCTGTCAGGGTCTGCAGTGAGTGCCCTGCACTGGTGAGTGCAGAGGGAGCTGGAAAGTTGGGGAGGACTCCCGATGGCTGGGTTGAGTAAGGAGAAACTAATCAAGGACCTTCCAGAGCCAAGACCCTCATTCAGCAGGAATTTTCCCTCCATCCTGGCTTCCTAAAGAGCCAGAGCCATAGAGACGAAGAGACCTAAGACAAAAGGCGGTCTCCACAAAGCACTTCCATTGGTTGAGGAAGTCACAGTTGTTTGGAAAGTCAGTGCGACACTAGCCATTCTATAGCATTGAGAGAAAGGGCAGACTCTGCTCTTCCTGCTCCCCGCTTCCACACTGGTGACCTCAGCCACAGGGCTGAGCCCAGGCCCCAGGTTCTCAAGGGATAGGCTTGGGAATCTCGCCAGGCCAGGCCAAGCCACAGAGGGGATTTTCAAGGGGATCCTGCTCCTTTCTGGATCTTGCAAGTACAAATGAGAAGATGCAGGAGCAAAGTCACAGCATAGACTCTTAGTCCTTGCACAGGAAGAGCAGCCAGACCTCTCTCAGCCTATTGTGAGGTTTTTCGTTTTCCTCCTGGAGGTAGCTTAGAGGATGAACTCGGCTGACATAGGTAGAGGGTGTGAACACGGGACCTGAGGACCCCCTCGGCTCACCCCAACCCTATGAGCAATACCTGGTCTCAACAGGAACAGACTGAGAATATCAAAGTGAGACAATTTCCTGTTCCCAGACACATGCATGCATGCATATACAGCTCCTTCACAGAGACCAGAAAGCCAAATAGCTCTCTCTTTCTGCTTTGCTCCTCCTCTTATCACTTATACAAAAGGTGGCATCTTTCCAGATGTAGCTGGGTCTGGTGCTCTGGCTCTGATCAGCCCACTGTGACTCCTCTGGTCTTATGATGCCCACAGCACAGCTAGGGTTCGGGGTGGTGCTGCTTTAGTGGGGGCCTCTTCTCATCTCTGCACCAACCTCAGCTGCATCAGGGCCCTGGGTCCTCACTGCCACCTCTTTTGTCCTCCAGAATATGACATTGAGGCTGCCCAGGAGAAGGACCGCCAGGCCTTCAAGCCCACTGACATCCTGCGGACCCAGAAGACCAATTGTGATGGCTACGCTGGCCTCTTTGAAAGAATGTGCAGGTATGATAGGCGGCCAGTGAGTTTTTGGATCCCTGGTGGACCTCCAGGTCCTCTCCCTCTCCCTCTAGAGTACTGTGGGTCTTTGCCACATGCCAGGCCTGAAGCCAGAGTTTGCAAACTCTGCCTTGGAATACAAGTGAATCCTGAAAAGGTCAATTTCTCCCTTTCTAACACCAGCATAATTGACTTTGTACCATCTGCCGAGCTTCGTGATGCATTAACATAATGGCAGATGAATGCACGGAGATAATTTGGTTATAAAAGGCCCTTTTTCTGCCTTCTCCCATCTCCATGCAGCTGAAGGTTAAAAGAATGGCAGGCATGAGAGCCAGAGGACAGTGGCTGAGAGCTCCAAGGGAACTATGAAAGGCTGTCCTTCGGGCTGGTGCTGGGGCCTCTTGTATGGAAAACAAAAACCTACCTGAAAAGACCTGTACACTGGAAAGCTGAACAACCGGGAAGCTACTGCTCCAGGCATCTTTCTACTCAGCTTTCAGGGCTCCGGGAGGGAGCCTGTGGCCAGTTCCTGGCCTGAAGGGAGGATGGGTCATCTGTTTCCTGTGGCCTCCAGACAAGCTCAAGCTCAAACAGGTTGAACCCTGCTGACTCCCACAGTTTCCTGTGGTCCTTTTTGAGGTCTGCTGGGTTTCTGTAGGAACCAAGCAGCCAGTCCTGGAGACCAAGCAAAAAGTCCCCTTTTAAGGAGTAAGAGGACAACTGCCCATACCTCTATAGCCCTCTGAGAGAAGTGTCAGCCCACTAGGACTGCAGGTGACAAAATAAATCAAGCCAAGTGCAACCACAAACAGTCCCCAGCATATAGCCATGATGCCTCAGTGTTGTGCAGGCAGCTGCAGGGGGACACACAGCCTGAAGTCACAGCTGGGCTGCCTCCTAGCCTTGCCACCTGGCCTGGCCTCAGGTTGCTCCAACGCTCCTGCTTGGCACTCTGCTCTTCCCCTCCCTGACTGAGCCCACAGCCTCAGATGTAGGCAGGGCGGGTCATGGTGCTGAGGGCACCATCTTAGCCACCACATTCAGGGCACACTCCCCACGCCTACTCCCTCACACTCCCTCTTACATACTTTTATGTATCTTTAGCCCCCTCCCTTTCTGCCTCCCTTGTGACACTGATCCCACAATCCTCTACACAGTAGGCCCTCAACAGATATTTTTAGAATGACAGGATATTCCTAGTGGAATTGCATATTCTCTTTTAAATACTGAAATAACTACCTCTGGGAGAGCCCTGCTGACCACCATAGTTTTATTCCAATCTATTTTCAGCCTCATTTGTCCCTAGCATCTTTCAGAATATGGCTGGAATCATCTGAATTTGTAAATCTGAAAGCACTCTGCTTTTCGAAAGTCATAAGATAAGTGCTTCCTTAGCCAATAAAAACTTTCTAGTGTGCTGTAGGAGTGGCAGATTTAAAGCTGGAGAGACCGGGGTTCCAGTTCTTAGTTGAGCGTTTACTCGTTTTGTTTCTTGTGGTAAGCACTTAACTTCCCAAAGCCTCAGTTCTGTCCTCTGCATGCTGGGGAATCCACAGCCTTTTTGGTGGGACGCTGGGACAATGTGAGAACATGCAATTGGGGTTTGATCACCTGACTTCAGAGATGCTATTTTATACCTTTCCTGTCTTTCTTGCCTATTGGGTTGTTTTTGCTCTGTGGAAATTTCCTACCAACTGCAACTGGCCCACATAGACTCAGAAAATTGACACTTGCCCTAAATGAAACTGTCAACCTTTCCGGCTCGGCCAGATGCTTAACAATGTCCATATTCTGGCCTGCAGCTGATCATTAAAATACATCCCAACATTTTGCACCAGTTAAAGTTTCCAGCTGTCGTTTACCCTTCATGAATTTCATCACAGTGCCTATGACATGTAACGAGACCTCACAGTTCCAAATTCCTTTAATTTTTGCTTTAAAGATCAGTAACGTATCCATGCAACACTTTCTTAATTCACTTTAGCTCTAAAATAACTGCCAAAAGTTTGGTCAATTCATTAGCTAATTCCTTAATAACTGAAGACATGCAATCCACACTTGCTGATTTATCCCTGCTTGGTTGTCAGGGTTGCCTCTTAGTAAGAGTTGTACCCACAAGGCCATCATTACTTCCTGCCAGTGCATTCTGCCTCTTTGGAATGGCCTCATTAACGACTGATTTAATAAAGTAATTTTGTGGGGAATTCAGATATTTTCTTAGCATCATTCATTTCCACATTGCCTTTTCCAAGTTACTGATGTGGGGGGCTTTTTGTTAGTGCAATTGCTAGTAATGGCTTGTCCAGTTTCTTTCTGACTTTCCATCATCACGCATGAATGTCTTTCCCTTTGCCTCAATTGCCCACAGCCTTAATTGATTCTACCTGATTGCCTTTCAGGGATTAAGGTTAATTCCCCAGGCTCCTGCCACTGAGCCAGCCCCGTAAATTCTCTTCCCTATTACCATGTCTGCAACACCACCAGCTAGCAGATTTCCTGGGATTCTGGATAACCAGGAGCTTACTTCCAATCTGAGGCTTGGATACAGAGGGGGCTAGCTGTCTCCGATCAGGTGCCAGCCAGCTTTCCATCCATCCTCCAGCTGTCACAGGGAGCAAGGGCAGAGGCATGCAAACTCAGATGGCTGCTTCTGCACAGCATGACATCCTGAAGTTCCTAAAGCATGACTTGCTTCCAAATGTCCCCAAAGAGAGGAAGCAGCTAGGAGCCTCCTGGGAGGTGCAGATTCCCTAGGAGACAGATAGTTTTAAATTACTGCCACAGCTAATTTTGTCATGAAAGACCTCTGAAAAGAACATCTGAACACACCTCAACCTTGCAGATAAACTGAAGGATGATATGAAGATGAATTGTACCACTATAGTGAATTGTTTTCTAATTATACTGTTTATAAATTAAATTCTAGTCTCATCGATAATTTTTTTAATTTTAAAGCTTGGTTAAGTGCAAAGGCTCCTGAACTGTGCTTTGGGATACTTGCATTCCAGGCTCACTGTGGCCCCAGCCAGGTGTGTGACCCCAGGCAAAGCAGCCTCCCTGTCTGAACCACTGAAGGCAGTACATGGGCCTCGGAGTGAGATTTAGCATTATGTTATTCTAGCCATAGATAGTGCAGGAAAAGGCAAAATGAGCACACAGCAGCAACACAGAAACACTGTCAAGTTCGCAAGAAATAAGTACGTAAATTCTCAGCTACACCACAATGTGTTTATCCTGCTGCAGTACTGAAATCGCACCACATTCAACAAGACACTAAAAGAAAAGCAGGTTCATTGCCTCTCCTGCAGCTACTCCTCTTTCCTCTTCTCTCCTTCTCTTTCTTTTCCCCTTGCCTTAGAGTTCCTGGAAGAGGTGATCACAGAGCGGAGAGTCCCCTGTGGTCAGAGCCAACCCGAGTGGGCCGCCCCTGCCTGCCCAGCCTTTCAGCCACACTGCTGGGGCCTGGCAGTGCCTAGGCTATGGCAGCATCACACAGTGGCAATGGCAGGGCCTAGACCATCTCAGCATAAAGTGACAGTGCTGACCCCACCACCTGCAAAGTTAGTGCTGAGGACACAACTCACTAAAGTGGGACAGCAGCAGCCTCAGGGTACCAGGTTCAGCCAGGCCTCCCTGGCCCTCTGCCTGCCTGCACCTCTTCCAGCCCATCACTCCAGGTCAGGGAGCCCCATGCCCTCAGAGCTCCCCAGGTTAAGTCCCTAATCCCCTAGGATGAGGTCGTGACTTCCTTCCAGTCCGCTGGCTGTCCCAGGGGAGTGTGCCAGGGCATCTTGCATGCCCATTCCCTGTGTGGCTTGGGATATCTGCCAGCCATATGCTGCTGTGGAACTGGCATTAAGCTTGTCAGGATGGTCAAAAGAAAAGGCCAAGATCTTCAACCAAGACTATTAAATTGAGCTCACTAGGGGAAATGGGGGCTTTGGGTGACTGGCCGAGCACTTTGGCAGGTGAATTGTTCCTCAGTTTTCCCATCAGCAGGGCCCCTCCTTCAATGTTCTCCAGCTTCTGCCAACACAGGGATGCCCTCTACTGAGCTCTCTAGGGACTTGTTTATAAGTTATATACCCTCCTTCCAGCCAGGAACGGGCAAGAGCAGCCCCTGAACCTTATTTTGGGAATAATGTATTTGATAATATTGTATTGTGCTGCGTTATGCCATGGTATCTCCCAGCATGTAGCCTGTTTCTATGTTTGTTACAGTGTGTGTGGCCAGTGGTCTGTTTTTGTTTGCTTGGTTGGTTGCTTATTTATGGTTTCTTTTTTTCCAAGTCCTCTGTATTAAACCCAAGAAAACTGTACCTTTTTATTTTTTGAGACAGAGTCTCCCTAAGTTGCCCACGCTGGCCTCAAACTTGTGATTCTCCTGTCTCAGCCTTCCAGGTAGCTGAGATGACAGATTATGCCTCTGTACCTGACAGTCCGCAGTCTTATGACAACATGAGAGGGTCATGGGTTATCCTGACTAGACACAAAACCCCAACTAGTTCTACCGTCATTGTTTTATATATGAATTACCTGACTTTGTATGGAAACTATGGATTTTTAACAATAATGCTTTGCATTATGACTTCCTCTGTCCACTTCATTTTGCACATGACTGCCAGGTCATAAAGTATCCCTGTGTCATGGTGAAGCAGTGCATAAACTTACAACTCAGTTCATTTTTCATCTTTTTTCTGTGGCAGGCATTCCCCATGGCCCTCCCAAATTTTCAGGTTGTTAGAGGAAAATCAGCCCCTGGAGATCACTTAATGCGAACCTTCCTGACTGCCCATGATGTGTCTGGCTAGGCCACACTGCAGGTTAGAGCGGGGAAGAGAACTTAGCCTAGTGGCCACCCACTCCAGCTTAGAGCACAGATGGACATCTCTGCCACTCACTGTTTCCTCCTTACCTCCTTTCCTGAGCTGGGGGAGCTTCCTCTGTGTGTGCCCAATCTTCTTCCCACTTCACCCCTCATAGGGAGGATACCCCTGCACACACTCCTCAGGGCAGGCCTCTCCCAGCAGAACTTCCAGGCTGCCCACAGCAGCACCCACCCTGGTTTGCCCCAGCACCTGGAGACTGAACCAACGTTAAATGAGCCTCTTTCCTCCTTGACCCCAGGTGGCTCCAACAGAGGGCAAGCATCAGTGAGCTGTCTGTTCAGAGGCCCAACAGCTCCACTGATCAGTTCCCCTTAATGCAAAACAAGCCATTCACTAAACACTGACTCCCTAGGATCCCCTTAACCCTCCACATCCTGCTAGAAATTAATAGGCACAGATGACCAGTGGAAGATGATTCACCAAAGGATGCAATTTTAAGTAGTATTTATGAGTTTTTTTCCAATTCTAAAAGTAACACATAGTCTATTATAAATCTTAAAAATATGGAGGAATTTAAAACAGAAAATTAAAATCACCCACATCCTGAGATTTCCTATTACTAATAGATCTGATGACTTTTATTCTCTGTCTCTGTCTCTGTCTGTCTCTCTCTGTCTCTGTCTCTGTCTGTCTCTGTCTCTCTGTCTCCTCCTCGCTGTCTAAGTACATATTATTGCATACACACAGACATTGTAATGATTATAAAGTTTTGACACTGTGTTAGAAGTATGAATTACCACCCTCTCTCTTCTCTGCTGACTTTCCACTCTAAGACTGTAGAGGCAAAAAAAAAAAAAAAAGAGTGTGGAGGCATTCAGGTCTCCCCATCTAGGAGCACTCCCACTGGCCCCACATCCCCTCCAGCCTGACCTAGCACTCTGCTCTCTGTGCTCTGTCACAGAGAGATGAGGCCCAGAGTGCTCCATGTCTGCATGTTGCCCTCTCCCTCCAGGAGCTCCACGGCCCATAGACTCCTGGCACCTCCTGTTTCTGGGCAGCTCTTCTGTGATAGGTGTCATTTTTGGCAGTATCAATAAAAAACTGAGGTCTAATTACTCTTGTTGTCTGCCCCTGGGATGCCCCAAGTTCCCTGACATCCCTGCTGGTGCATCCTTATGACATTCCCTGGGGAGTCAAGGAGCCTGGACCTCCTTTGTGAAGCCGTGGGGAGAAGGGTAGAGGCTGTGAAAGGTCCTCAGCCTGAGTGGCCTGGCCTGCTTGTTCAGGCCGATGCGATAACTTGTCATCATTGTATGCACCCAGGCAACACAGATGTCAAGGGCTCTAGAACCCAAATGCTCAGGACACCACATGTTGCTTCCAGGACATCCTTAACCTTGAGAGGTCCCATGGCCCTGATGTTTGGAGATACTGGGGCTATAGAACTGGTCCGAGCCAGAACCTGGCCCCAGAGGACTGTCCACTAGATGAGGGCCCACTGACATCCTGGACTGCAGATTCAGCTCATCTGAGGGGTGCACAGAGACTGCACCATGGGGGGGGGTTGCTGGGAGGATAGTGGAGTTTCAAGAAAGCCCCTGGCAATGGGCACCCTACACATCCAGGAGTTCATGGCTTTACTGGTTTTCCCACAATGCCGAAGAAAGTGTTGGGAAAAGTCACCATCCGACTGTCCAAGGTCCCAGATAGTTGTACCAGGTTAGTTTGAGCAGTAGGAGAGGACGCTATCAAAATGGCACCAAATCTCCAGCTAACCATCAGGCACTTCCACTCCTTCTGAGACCCTTAAAGGAGACTCCAGAGTTGTGGCCACAGCAGGCAGGCAGCGAATGACACTAATACGCTACAGTGGTTCTTGTACCATATTCGCAGAGGACACGTCTGCAGGCCAGTCCTCCCTAGGTCACTGCCGGAAACACCAGTCTGTCTGCCTTTCAGGTCCACATGCAAATAGGCTTGCAAGGGTACAGCCAAGGAAGTAGAACTCAGCCTTCTCTGCTCTCAGACCACCATCTCTTGAGTGACCCTGGCTCTCCTAGCCTCTGTCCCCACCCCTTATTTTTAGGTTTTGCACCAAGAACACCCTGCTTTCCTGGTTCCAATGCAACACTCACTCTTGCCCTCACTTTTCTCCCCTGAAGAGTTGTGCACCGATTGTGTTGGGCTCTGCGGAGCACTGCAGAGGTTATCTGAGCAGTCTTTGCAGAGGTTATTTGAGCAGTCTGGGGGAGGAACAGATAGCAGCACCTGCAGCCAGTCTACCCTGCCAGGACCAGCTAGCTTTCTGTCCTCTGTCTGCACCCTGAGGGACAAAAATTGTCAAGGTAGCATATGCATAAATGTGTGACAGGCAGGAAAAGGAGAGACTGGAAGGACTGATGGACTGCAGGTGTGGCATGGTGGATTTAGGGGCCATCCCAGTGGAGCCCCCTCTCAAACCCGTGTCACTCGCAGGATTGCTGGCGTTCAGTGCATGACAGTTCCTGGCTACTCCAAGGGCTTCGGCTACCAGATGGGACAGAGCTTCTCAGGAGAATTTGACCATGCCTGGAACGCCGTGTACCTGGAGGGAAGATGGCACCTCCTGGATAGCACCTGGGGCAGCGGCCTGGTGGACAAGGCCACCTCAAAATTCACTTTCCTGTAAGCACAAGTCAAGGTTGGGCTGGGGATCTTGGGCATGGAGGAGACACAAGGGGAGAAGGTTGAGGGGAGGGAAGGAAAGCGGGTGGCCTTATGGCTGCTGACTGTGCCCACCTGCCCACAAGCTGGGACAGCAGCTAGCTGTATGTCCAACCTTTCAGTGACGCCCCCTCCACTAACTAAATGCCTCTTCTATGGCTTCTATGGCTCCCTTCGCCTAAACGCCCACCTAAACCCTATGAGTCTCAGCATCGGCCCCAGACCCCATGTGAGGTCAGTGGATCCCATTCCTGATTACCATGCACAGACACCAGGACTGTCTCCTACCACTTCCTTAGACACCAGCCTCCCCTTCCAGGCTGAGTAAAGGCCATGGTCTCTGGGAAGAAGTGCCATGGCGGCTACTGAGTCATCATGGACCACAGTGAGCAGAGTAGATGCCATTACACTGGACCAGTTCAATGCTGCAGGGCTCTGGCCTTAACCTAAGACCACACAAAACATACTCATGGGCACAATGGCCATCAGCAGCTTGGATTCTATTCAGAAAAGTAAGAGTATACTGTGGCTTTTGCAGCTTAAATCTTGACACTACCACACTGGGAACAAACACAGGATGGGTGCCCACACTTCCTGCAGTGGGCTCGCATGTTCACAGACACCTCTTCTGCCTCCACCATTCTGAAGATGGCTGCTTTAGGGGGAGCAAAGCCTCTCCATCTCAGGCTGAGCACCCCATTCTTCTCTGGGTCACTGTCCCCGCCCTCTAGGGGAGCACTAGCCCTCTACCTGACCCAGGCAGCCACAGAGGGCCCCACCACCTCTGCAGAGAAGAGATGGGCTGATGGAGGGAATACTAGAGCATTCTACCCACCCACCCCCACAGCCTGCTCACCGTGCCATGCTCAACACTCCTCTGTTGATTACAGCTTTGCACCCTTCAGATTTATTTTTGGTGTTGAAGGTCAGGGAGCCTTTCCTCCACACATGCCAGGGCACTCAGAGCACACTGAGTTCCCCATTGTGACCTTCTCTCAGAAGATGGCTCAGGTCCTGCTTTGACTCCAGTGTCCAGAAGTCTCTAGTGCCCATGTTTGAACAGGTGACAGCATTGCTTCCTAGTCAGGTTATTGACTGGACCCTGCCTGGTACTGTATCCACCAAGAGAAGGCCGCCCAGAGCCCAGCCCCATGCTAAGCTGAGAAAGGCAGCCACACACTTGCCCCATGGCTCCTGATCAGCTCTTACTCTTCCCCAGCTACAACGAATTCTACTTCCTCACCCATCCCGCACTGTTCATTGAGGACCACTTCCCAGACAACAAGAACTGGCAACTGCTAAAGCCCCCACAGTCTCTGCGGCAGTTTGAAAACAGCATGTATCACAAGAGCGAATTCTACAACAAGGGGATGCTGAGTGCCCAGCCGGATGTGTCCATGATCAAAACAGGTAACCCGCGAAGGCGGCCAGGGTGTGCAGCAGTAGCAGGGACACACAGCCTGGAGGCTGCAGTCCAAGCCCACACAAGCATGTAGGTGTGCAGAGATGGCAGAGAGCCCAGGCCACCAGGCTATCAGGGCAGGCATGGCTACAGGTCATACTCTTGCCTATAGGAGGGGAGATGTCAGGGACTGTGAGTTCCCAGGCACACAGGAGCCAGAGCTTGAGGGTCCTAAGCTAGGTACAACTTTTTCTGCTCACAGGGCAGAGGACAGACTGCCCAGGCTACCCAGCCTCAGCTCAGGTGTCCAACAGAAGCTGCCTGGCCTGCTGTGCTCTCCTCCCAGACTTCTGGCCAGGAGGGTATGTGGGCCCCTCAGAGCTGTAACTGTGTATCAGGGGTCTGCCTGGAAGGTTAGGGAGCCACAGGGCTCTCCCCAGACGTTGGGGGCATGCTCCTCAGGATAAAGGGTGGGACCAGCTGCCACAGGGAGATGGTCAGTGATGGGAGGACAGCCAGGATGGACATGTAGGCAGTGGGAGGAGAGAAGAAGAGTGTTTAGTAACTGCCCAACCTCCACACCCATACACCCCTAAGGAAAGGACTGGGGTCCTCAAGGCTCAGCCTGGCCTGCTCAGAACCCCTCTTTCTGGAGACAGGACCCAACTTTTTCTAGCCAGTTCCCCAGGGCTGGACAGTGCAGAACACCAAGCTTAGCTGTCCCCACAGCTGGCCTGGGGAGTAGTTGCTGCTCATCTCTGCAGAAGGGCCATAAGGGTAGGGTATATTTACACACTCTAAGGAGCATGAGGAGACTGAGCCAGGCAGCCAGAACCATGGACATGAGCCAAAAAGGACTTTCTCTAGAGGCATCCAAGAATGAGGCCGGGGAGGATGTTGGGGTGGCCCCAGCCCCACCGCACTGCAGGGTAATGGGAGCAGCTGGGGAGCACAGGTGCCCCCAAGTGCACTCCAGCTGGCATATATCTTCCACCTCTCAATGGTTTCCTTAACCAGTCGCCGAGCTCCCACACATTCATCAGAGCTACAAATACCCGGCAGCTCCTGCTGCTAAAATACCAGCGTGAGGCTGCTCACTTTGAGAATCCGCTTGCTGCGCCTGCATCCAGTGGAGGCCCGTGGTCTGCCGTGGGCCCTTGAGCCATGGAAAGAATTGGCCAGGCCAAAACAAGACACGCTCTGTCGCTGAGCTGAGTTCACCTTTTCAGGAGGCATAAAAATGTATTTTTTTAAATCTGTAGTAATCACAAATTTGCTTTTCTTGATGGTAGAGATTTCACATTAAGTATAGAGATGAAAATGAAGCAAAACAGGAAACTGAAGGAGGTGAAAAGGAAGGGAAGGAAGAGAAGCCCAAGATGGGGAGATGGGAGGCTGCTGAGCACAGGGAAGGAGAGCTCAGGAGGAGAGAAAGAAAGAGGGAGCGGAGGAGGCAGGTGGACAGCCCCAAACGTCCCCCGTCTTTCACTTGAAGACTTCCTGACATTCATCACACCTTTACCAACAGCCTCAAAACTAGGCTCCCCAGTGACAAGGAAGTGAGCCAGGCTCTCCCTAAACACCCTCCAGCCTCTAAAGGCAGACATTGCACAGAAATGCTCACATAATTAATTACCACAGTGAGAGTTTCCCTGAAGGAAGCCAGAGCCAGGAGAGGGCCTCCCAGAGAACCCTGGCTCACATGAGGGATGGGACAGGCTCGTTTACAGGAGGCCTTCAGGCTGAGGTCTTATTAGTTCAGGAAAGGGGCTCATGGGAAGCATAGCCCAGACTGTCTGTAGCCTCCTTAGCCTGCTTCCACTCCCAGATGAGGCTGGGGAGGATGCAGCGGGGAGAGGCAAACAACTGGCTTCTGAGAGGTGAGGCCAGGCTTTCAGAGAAGCCACCGCACCTCCCTGGGGCCTTGGAAGCCAGGGAGGACCAAATAGGTGAGTCCTCGCCGACTACGAAAACCAGGGAATGGGTCACCTATGCCTGAAAGATGGACTAGGACAAAGAATGGCCACGTGGCAGGGAAGGGGAGAGGGAAGGAAAAGGCCCATGGGTATACACATTGTAACTTCAAGGTCCCATCCTAGAAGTACAGTGAAGATGCCCTGTGACAGCATGGGGCAGGGGCGTGTGGACCAGGGCACCATCTCCAGGAGTGGCACTTTCCCAACTTGCTTAAGGTAACATGTAGACAAGATAGCTGTTGTCACCTGTAATGAGCAGATGCTGGTGGGAGGGGAAAGCAGGCCTGAGCATTGGAGGAGAAGATGCCCTTCCTGCCCCTTGACCCTCCAGGCAGCCCGAAGCTCATATGAACAGATGGAAGAGAAGCACAGACAGCTGGGGGCAGATTTCTCCTCAGAGCTCACTCCGCCCCTAGCTATCAGCTCCCCCTAAAGGCAGTAGAGAACCCCTTCCAGGGCTGTACTACAGCTACAGCTGGCTGATACTATGTTCAGTGACACCACATTGGTTGCATAGTTCATCTTGATAAAAAGATTTACACCACAGAAATGGCCAAGTGCTATAGTTCAGAGTTTCCGCACACCCCAGGAAAGCTAATGGTTAAACACTTACCGCACACACAGGAGCCATCTCACTCAATCCAACTCTCTCCCCAGTGAACGGGAAGGCTACGATCACCATTGAGAGCTGTGCCCCCACGCTGTTCATGTTCATGCTCAACGGGAAGCAGGAGCACGGGCTCCTGAGCCTCCGGAAGAACGGGATGAAGCTGGAGATCTACCCACCCACCATGGGCACCCACAAGCTGCAGATCTTTGCCAAGGGCAACTCAGACATCTACAGCTCAGTGCTGGAGTACACGCTCAAGTGCACCTTCGTAGACCTGGGGGTCCGGCTGCCAGCTGAGCTACACCAGCCCGTGGGCCCCAGCTGGTTCTCGGAGCAGATGGGCATCGTGAAACCCTCTCACCCTGACCCTGTCATCCATACCAGGGATGGACGCTGCTCTATCAGCTTGGGTGTGGAGGAAGGCATCAGCGTCCTGGCTTCCCTGCACGGAGACGATGGCCCCATAACCGAGGAGACACAGCGGCGCTATGTCTTCCAAGTGCATCGGGAGAAGCGGATTGAGCTCAAAGTCCAGCTGCCCCACGCCGGCAAGTTTGCCCTCAAGATCTTTGTCAAGAAGAGGCAGGAGCCAGGCAACTACATCTTTGTCTTCAATTATCTCCTGTGCTGTACCAACACCAAGGTGAACTGGCCCATGTTCCCTGAGAGCTTCGGCAACTGGGGACAGGACAATGAGCTGCTGGAACCTCTGTCCGGTGTGCTGCCCGCCAACCGGAATGTCCCATTCAAGCTGAAGCTGCATGGAATCGCCAAAGCCCTAGTGAAAGGGCAGGACACATGGCCGCTGACCCTGAACCACGAGGGCTACTGGGAAGGCAGTTGCAGCACAGCTGGCTGCCAGGAGGTCTACGTCATGGTGCTGGAGAACGCCAACCATAACTTCTACTCCTACATCCTGAAGTACAGAGTGAACACCCAGTGAGGGCCTGGCCCCTCCTGCCCTTCCAGAGGGCCATGGGCAGCCCTTCCCAGGAGAGGCCATGTGCAGGAAGTCCTGGGCACCACTGAGTCTGCATGAAACCATTTCTAGGTCTCCACCTCCGTCTCCCTGCTCTATCGCAGGTGCTGAGGTGTTTGTGTTCTAAAGGCTTCCTTCAGCATGGCCAAGGCTGAGGGGACAGAGGTGAAGGCCCTTGGAAGGAAAAGGTGCTATGTAAATCCAAGGTATTGTGAACTGTACACCCATGCCCAGATGCCCCCTTTTTGTGCAAACTTTGTTACCATAGATAGGGTCGATGTGGGAAAGCAGGGATGTTATCTGAGCTGAAAGACTTCCCTGTGATGCTCAGAGAATTCCCCATGCCCCAGAGGCACATGACATGTAAGGCTGCGTCTCCCCCGATCACGGAGCCCCTTCCAAGTGGCACACGATGTCTCTGCACATCTCCTGGACTCCAGGGAAGGACAGACCTGACTGTCTTACAAGTGCCTGCTGCCTCTTCATTAGCCATTTCTTGCTCTTCAGGAGCCCTGGGGGAGAACAGGTGTGAGAGGAAGCTAGCTGATGCCTAGCAGCGGGGAACTGTGACAGCAAAAGCAGAGAGCCGCCAGGGCGGGCTGGTGGGTATGCTGAGGGGCAGGGCAGTGACACTTGGCGGTCCTGCAGTCCAGTCTAACTCCCCCGACTCAGGCCTGCAGGAGCACACAGGGCAGTGGTCCAGCCTCTCGGGCCCATGCCTGAGGCCTGGCCTTTCCTTCCCAGGAGCCTCTAGGGACTGGTGAGACCTGTCAGGAGCCTGGTGATAAAGCTCAATAGAGGCCAGGCCAGGAGGCCAGGGAATGAGATGAGGAGAAGTGTGATTAGAGCAGTGTTCAGGAGAGTTACACGGGCCACTGCCAGCCCCAGAGTCCCTGCTAATGAAGCCGGGCTGAGGGACCTGTGTGCTCTGGAGCAGCTTTAGTGCCATGGTTGAAAAAAAAGTCCTATCCCATCTCCTTTCCTTTCTAGAAATGAGAGTCCACCCACGCAGAGGGGACAGTTGTTCTGGGGGACAGTTGGGGCCCTGGCTTGCACAGGCCAGTCCTAAGAAGCCCCGGCTACCCAGCTGGCCCCAGGAAGTCCCTGAGACTGGTGTTGCCATGGCAACAATGGGAGGTGGGCTGAGTGAGGACAGCAGAAAGGGAAGGGCTGAGAGAGGCCTTTCAAGGACAATGCACCAGCATCCTGACATATGAACACACTCTGGGGTAGTCCGGGCCGAACCCCTGGAGTCCTCGGTTCTGTCACCACTGCCTGTCTCAGAGGGCCTGATGCTGAGAGCCGGCCATACCCAAACCTCTCCTGACAGCCCCTCCACGTGGCCCCAGGCTCAGCAGCAGTGAAAGCCAGCCTGGCCCGCTCATCCCTTCCCTCTCTCACCCATCTTCATGTCTGTGCATTCAGGGGATGCTTATGTCACACAGTAAGTGCCAAATGCTATGCTAGAGCTTGGTAGGACCCAACTTCCTCATGTGAGGTGCTGCCTGGGGTGCCGTGTTCCCTGCTCTATGTCCAACATGCTTTGATAGGAGCCACCTGCCACCAACTCACTCAGCCTGAAAAACACACAAAGGCCAAGAGACATAACCACTATGCCCAACCACAAGGAAATAAGGGCAGTGTTTACACCCAGAAAACAGCCCTCTCTCACACATAGGATTTTAAGGGCAGAAAGGAGCCTGCTGAGTCGTATCAAAACAAGTGATTTCTAAGGCTCGTGCCACTGCTGGAGCCATCACAACAGCCACACATCACCCTGCAGAAGACAACACACGCCTTTCTAAAACACTGTCATTAATAAGTCCATCTTGGAGCATGCAGAGCACACCACCCAGCAAAGAGGAGCTGTGCCCGGCACCGAAAGGGAACCCCAGCGCTAGAAACACCGCAGGGCACCTTCAGGCCCTTTCTTGCTCATTTAATCAGGCACCCCCTTTGTAAAGACAGCTGTAGGCACGGTTAGGAAATCACCTGCTTTTCTTTCCACTGAAGTAAAAGTACGTGAAACGAAATCCAATCTTCATGAATTTTGACATGCATGCTGCACAGGCTACAAATTCGAGGTCACATTTTGAAGGCTTTTATTCAAATGCACCCATCTTTGTTTCCCAGTCGCCAATGGAATGGCACGGGTGCCCCCTGGTGGCCACAGAGCTGGGCCGCCGACGCTGCTAAGCGCGAGACTGGATTTATTGTGTCTTTTTTTTTGTCTCCGACCTTTTTGTTTTTTAAACTGAAAACTTGAAAAACGCCTTTGAGATATTTGTATTGAAATCAGGGGGTGCTTTCTCAGATTTCCCTTCTATGTACACGGAGCACCTTTTGCAGTGCACCTCCGTGAGGGGAGTCTGAGGGGCTGCCTGTGGGAAGGAGGAGGCAGAGCATATGATAAGAACTGGGGGCCTTTTGCCCAGAAATCCCTTCTTGAAACAGAAACGCTGGCTGCAAGACTGGGTGGGGCAGCTTTGATCACACGAGTTACTATGCCAGTGAAAGACTGATCAAACCAGAGAGCATTGCTTCCAAGGCCCAGGATGGGTGCCAGAGAGGGGGTGGAGAATGGCAGGGCGGTGAGATGGCATCTATGCAGCAATTAACTTCTTTTCAGCTGGTTTCAGAAGTGTCACCGGCACAGCTGGACTCTTCCTTTCAATCCCATTGTGATCATTGTGAGTTCCCCATATGCTACATTGTCTCAGCAAGGCAAACTCCTCACAGCCTGCTGAGATTAAAGAGCAATAAATAGGTGAACTGAAGCATGATGGATCTAGGCTAGACATAAAGAACTATTTCCTGTCGTTGAACTGGAGGGACACGCTGCCAAGAAAGTTTGCAAAATTCTCTTCTCAAAGGACTTGAAAAGAAGAAACATTTTCCCAGTAGTCTGCAGTTTTATTTAACTGCTACACACTTGGGCTCTTTCTAAACCAATTAATTCTTTAAATGCACTGTCTGGCCTGCCGCAAACATGGGGTTAACAGTGTGGCCTGACTGTTCGCTATTGGCAAAGGTTTCAAAGGTGGTGCGCATCTGTTGCCCACATCAATCTCTCTGAAGGCTGTAATTTCTTTTCGCTGGGAATAAGTAGCCAGAGACCTGAAGAGGTGATTACTTCTCAGAATGCGTGCGCTGAGTGGAGGGGGCTGGTGGCTGTTGAGTGTGCTTTCCCCACATTGTTGCTGGTGTTTTTCAATAAAATTTATATTCATTTTTATCCAACAATGTAATTATCGATCCATTCTTATCACTGGTCTCATAGGGTGAGGGAGGTAAAAAAAAAAAAAAAGGAAAAGAAAAAAGAATTTAAAAAGAAAAAGCACTTTCATGTTCAAAGGGAGCCCTAGGGAAAAAAAAAAAAATCAATGTCCCAGCCATTTGAATTTGATGGTGAGATGCAAATGTAATAATGTCAGACAAATAGCTATTCCACATTAAAGAAAACATAATTAGGTTAGCCCTGGCCCTGCTATGCCTCGCATGCCTTTGAAGAACACGAAGGCAGTGTTTCTTTCATTGAATCTTGTTTAACTTGAAATTTTTAGAGTCAACCCAAATTTCTTCTTAGAGTGAGAAGGGAAAAAAAAAATCAAAGATGCCTGTCAACCTATTTTTTTTGTTTTGAATATACATAGATATAGATATGTATAGATAGAATCAGGCATAAATGTAAATATGAAGGATATAGATATTCAGATACATGCAGAAACTTTCTAGCAGGTTACCTAAACAGATTATTCATAAATTAGACATGTGGAGAATATAGGAAATGGAAATACAGACACCTCTGAGAAGTTGCTGTAACCATGGAGACCATCCTCAGAGCTGTAATGTGAAGGACAAAAAGAACTTGCATTCCCAAATCTGCGCTTATCGTGTCCCTCGCTGCTAGATCCACAAAACCAAGATGCAACATGTACCTCCTTGGAAAGGAAGCCCGGGTGTGGACCGTGCCTTTAACAGTGCACGAAAGGAGAGTCAGAAGACAGGGTCTTCTGCACGGTAGAAGGAAGAACTCCTAAATTATTGCAGCAATCTGAAGATGGCAACCTAGAAGCTGGAATATCCGACCTCCAACATCTTTTCCAGTCCAGGGAGCTCGTGAAGCTGTCTTTGCAAACAGAAGGGGGCAGGCGAGGGGGTCGGGGTTGTCAGTCATTTGACATATGAAGGGTCCCACTGCGTTAAGAGCCTGCTCCTTCAGCTCCTTCTCTTTCCCCCACACTGCCAGCCAGCCCTCCTGGCCTGAGGGCATGGGGTGGGGCTGAGTGGACCCAGCCGAGGGACCACAAGGAGGCAAAGGTCCTGACAGGATGTTGATTCTCTCTGATTTTGCAAGCAGAACTAAAGAAAGTTAAAAGACACCTGAACTGTGGATGCTGCGCCGGCATTTCCTTGTGAAAAAACACTCAATTAAGTCACTTTCCTCCTACATCACCTCCATCTCTTCCTTGCTCCCCCCAATTCCATGAATGTGTCCCTAGCCACCAGCACCCTAAATCAGACCCCTGGCAGTAACCAGTGTCTTCTCCTCCACCTCTACTCATATGGAATGGAGTCCATTCAGGGGCATCTCGTGTCTGACCTGCTTTCCTGCCTCCACAGCTGTCCTGTGTGCTCACACCCTGTAATGAGACAAGGCCCGCTTGTTCCTATTACCGTCCATGCTGGCCTCCCTCATGAGCACAAGTACAACTGAGCTAAGGCACTTTCCATGAAAGCCATCGAGCAGAAGCTTAGCAAATCTGTGTCAGGCACTGGTGGAAAAGGTAGGTCTTCACACAATAACCAGTGTTAATGGTAAACCAGGAAAATCTTGTCTCCTTTTTGTCTAAAGGGAAAGGTCCTCACACCTAGGTAATGGTATATAGGATGGCTCTTTGCACCACAACCTGATGGAGGATGGAAACAGAGCCAAGGGGGGATCCTCACCACAAGAGAACAAGCTGCCCTTGTAAATCAGTTATCTATATCCATGGCTCAGTCCTCTCCCTATTGTTTTCATGGACACAGCAGTACTGATCACACTTGCCCACTAGATTCCCTGGGAAGCAAATGTACAGGCAGAGTGAGGAATGCCGTCAGTGTGCTGGGAGGTTAAGACTAGTGAAAGATGAAAGGAAAGGAAGTGGGGTCAGCAGAGAGCCCCTAGGATAGGGTGCAAAGCTAACTGAGTCCCAGTCAACCAACGTGGAACTCCGGAGCAAAGACCTCCTGTTGTAAGGGTCTCAGGCTAAGCAAAAATGAGCAGGTTCTAGACAACTCACCATGCTCAGCTCCTGGCTGGAGCTGCCTGGGAAAAGCTTTGCCTCCATTCATAAACTAAGATGGCTCTGAAGGTGCTGGAAGGAACTGGAGGCTCTGAGTAAACTCTACACCTTACAGTTAGTCAACCAGTTCTTTCAGACAGTGAGCTCTGGGCAGCATCCTCTGTGTTTGCCAGACAACTGCATCTGTCTATGAGGTAGAGGATTCAGAAAAGATGAGTGAAGGCTGTGAATGTATGGGCTGCTTACCCAAAGTGCTGCGGCCCAGGAATCGCCAACAAGGGTCTACAAGCTGTTTTGTGGAAGGGACTCCAGATCAGGTTGCCTCTGTATAGACCTGTGGGGACACAGGCATCCAGCAAGCCAGCCCACCTCCTGACAACCAGTCAGTTCCCAAGCCATAGGTCCCAGGATGCACTGAGGCCTCCTGACACCTCTGGGCTCCAGGATGATTCTGTCCAACAGCCCCATCTAGAGCACATGGCTGCACTCCAGAGAGAAAGGCCTAGCCAGACTAGCTTGCTGATCATCTCTGTGCCTCCGCAGTGCCTTATGTTCAGAGTAAGGAATCTGTATTTGAAGAGAAAATGAAGTAAGAGATCACTAGGTGTCTATGTGTTACCGAAGCGGCTGTTGAGTTACAACATACTGGTCATTTTCTTCTTTTTCTCAGCTAACTGAAGAAGCATATGCACAATCATGAGTTTCTTTGCCCCTGTGGGGAATGTATATTTACAGAAAGAGAATTTGCCAACTGGCTGGAAGAGCTCCTAAGAACAACCGATCGATTGGAGATAGGACGAGAGTCCCCCTCCTGAGTGTGGCCTAAGTTTGCTTTGTTTCCATGAGGCATGGCTGATTGCCTCCATGACACAAGGAATCAGCCATCATTTCACCCCCGGCTGTGCAGGGACCAAGATGGTGACATCCCCTCCAAACACTAGTGGGGACAACCAAGGGGAAGCTCGGGGCATAAAAGCCCGGCAGCAGCCACCTCTGTGAGTGGCCAAGAGGAAGTGGGCTGCGTGATTATTGAAGTGTAGACAGTAAGCGTGAGCAGCTCCCAAAGGGCACAGGACAGTGAGGAGGGGAAATGTGGATGCGTTTGTTTAAAAGGAAATAACCGTAGGATAGCAAATGTCCTGGGGCCCACTTCTCTGTATGTGTGTTAATGCCAAGCAGAACTGGAAGTTAATGTTAACTATCTTACCACATTATAAAAAATGTAGTGTATCTGCAACCCAGAGGCCATCACCACTACACAGACTTTGCAGACTTTCCCACCCAGGACAAGGGCAAACGGGTCCTGTGGATCCTTTAAGAGTACCATTTCCCTTCCCCACCACCCAGGACAAAACGGGAGTGAGCCTGTTAGCCCGGTTGTGGGAGGGAATTCACTCTGCCAGTAAAAGCCTCACTTGATGTTTTTTAAAGCTCAACAAGTGTTAAGAGTCCATTTTGAAAAGGAGCTAATGGGTTCTTTCTGGAAAAATGACCTCTTAGCTGCTGGTTCCGTTTGACTTGTACCATGAGAGCTATTAATAGATGACCGAAGTCTTGTGTTTTCCTCTATAAATACCAGTTTGACTTGGGGAGCCTTCAGCTAGCTGGGATCCCTCCCCATAGAGCTCTGACCAGGGCAGGAAGACTGAGGCTCTCTCTCTGCCAGTTGGCCAGGAGAGTTAAGGAAAAAGGGCACGAACCTCCAAGTGGGTCATTCAAATCCTGACCGGAGCCCTACCAACTCTCACCTGGCTCCGGCAAGTCTTTAGCCCTCCCGTCTTGTTCTTCTTGTCACCAAAATGGGAATAATCATTGCATCTCCCATGTTAGTTTTCCCCAAGGGATAAATGAATTAACGCCATGACTAGAAACATCCTTGCCACATCATAAATCCCACATCACAGTTGTCATCAGCATTACAATAATGGAATTAATGTGTTGTGATGTTCCCTCAAGAAGTCAAGATCTCCCATCATTCTTAAAACCATAGCAATCAATGATTTCAGTCTCTAATTCAATATGGAAGTCTCTCCAACCCACAGCCATGCTTCCTCTCCTAGAATCCTTCTAGAGCCGGATGCTCATTGCTCTGTAAGACAGCCACTGTGTTACTGGACACCTCTGATGAAGGCCTTCCCTAGCCACCTCTGCCTTGAATTACAGCAGTTGAGACTCACTCGGACCAGAGTCTTGATTGCAGGCTTTGGAATCTAGATAGAAGCAATGTAACACACTTAGACAAGGAGGAGAATCCAAAGATCTGAAGGAAAAGAAAACCAATCTCCCACTCAATTTAGCTTACAAAAACAAGAAAATCAATGGTAAAAAAGAAAAAAATGAATGAATGGCTTAAAAAAATACAATCTGTATGCTAAAGTGAAACTACCCCAAACCTTGATGTCACTTAACTACGCAAATTTGTCTGTGTAGGTTATACCTTCCTCCCAAAAACTAGAGGACTTTTCTCTGAGAAAACTGACCACCCTAAGGAAAAAAAATGGTCACAGGCTCTGTCTGTGGTCATCACCCCAGTGGAAGGACTCAGAGGTCATATGACCAGCCAGTTCTAGGGAGTTCTCCTACCTCAGAAAGAGAGATTGAAAAAAAAAAGTATTTGTGATATTTTTTAAAATGTGTCCATGAATTCTTTGGTGTTCCTGCCCTCAAAAGTAAACCTACTTTCCATGCTTTTAAGTTGAGCTATAGTCAGTGACTCTGTTCTAACAGAATGGGCAGAAACCCTGATGCTCAAGATTATATACAAAAAGCACGATCATTTCTTTCTTATTTTCTCACAAACTACCTGTTTGAGCACAGCCCTGTGCAGAGACCCACACAGCCAGGAACAAGGCAACACAGCCAAGACCTAGCCAACTTCTTTAATAAAACCTCATGAAATATCCAGAACCAGAATCCACTTAACCCATTTTTTAAATCTTTTTATTTTTTATTTTAAAGAGGGTAAGATTAAATATAACAAAACAGAGCATAAGGAAAAAATTTAAAGAAACACAGATTTCAAAGCAAGTCCACTGGAGATCTTCATTGTCCATCTTATCGTCTCTAGTTTTCTTCCAAATAGTTGTCCCCATCTTCACAAACATTGACTACATACTGAACATAATAGAACTAATCAGATCATTACATGATGATGAAGGCTTTTTAGGTCTTCAAGACCTGACATTGTGGAAGTCAATAATGACTCCCATAATGTCTCATTCTCTTCATAGTAGCTGTCCTTATCTTTACATATGCTGAAATTTAACATAAGAGACTAGACTAATATCACTCTGAACAGTGAATAATAGTATTGCTAGATTTTATATCATAACGTATTGGGTTTCTTAGTGTTTCTTCTTCAGAGTAGCTGTTCATTACATCGTGCATTATATAATCTGTTCCCATAAATAGTTTAGAAATTCTCCCCATGTGTGAATCTCTACATGTATATCTATCCTTTCTGTATTATAGGGAAAAAAGGTCATAACAAGATAATCAAATGAATTCCTAGAAAAACATGAAATGAAAAAGACATATAAGACCACAATATTAGGTGATCTATAATAGTTACTATGCTTTCTCTTGTTATTTTCAATAGAATTGTCTACATCATCAGACATAATATAATTGAACATAGCATTATATAGCTATTTTAATAAAAACACAACTTTGGAGACATTGTAGGACTTTGAAAGCAGTTAATACTTACACTGGAATGGGTATCTTTTACATCTTGTCATCTTCAGAGTAGTTGCCTCTACTCCTAGACTTGATACTATCAAGCATACCAAATTAGAATAAAAACAGTCAAGGCAAAACAGCAGTCTAACAAACCAGCTCCAAATAAGATCAGTCATAGTAAGGCAATGCAAGTAATACAGGGTTTCAGTTTAAGTTAATAGGAAATTAAGGATAGTTACCATTGTATAATCTGCTATTTTTGGGATAGCTGTTTGTGCCCTCAAATCTAATATGAGCACACAAACCAGAACAAAATAAAATCAAACTAAACAGAGCAATAAGACTACTGTGACTTTTAAATCCTCATACACTTTTAACAATGTCTTCTGCCTTCCTTTTTTAGGCAGTTTCTCACCTTTCCCCTTCTCAGGATGCTTTGTATATCTTGGGTCCCACTAGCTCCTTTGATTTTTAGATTTCCCACTATCTATCTGAGTGTTGCTGAACCTTTTTACCCCTGAGCTTGATCTTGAGCTGTACTCCTTTAAACTTACCAAAGCCACAAGGTTTTCCTTCCTTCCAGCTGTGTAGTTCTACACTGCCCAAAAGTGTCATAACTTTCCAATCTATTTGTGGCTGCAGGACAAGTTGTCGCTATTTCTCTCTGGTTTCCTGTCACATATAGCATTGCTTTCTCATCTTTGACTTTCAGTTTATCACCCTCTTTCAGTTTGAGTATATTTCCTATTCAGAGCATCTTGATGCATCCTGCCTCCTAATCTACTCTGCCTGTGTTTCTCTTTGTTAGTGTATCAAGGCTATCTATATTAAAGATTATAGCCTACCTTCTCTGCCTCATCTCTGCTATTCTATTTTTCTGCTATTATTTGTCCACTTTACTCCTTCATTCCACTGTCTGCCCCATTCATTGAGGCCTCTCTGCCACTGTTGCTGGATTCCTGGTATTTTTTTCTCTCTCTCTGGAATGTCCTTCAGTATTTTTTTGTAGGGTTGTGTTGGTGGCCATGAACTCCCACAGTTCCTCCTTGTCTTGGAAATATCATATTTCTCCATTAATTTTGAGAGAGAGTTTTTCTGGGTATATCAATCTGGGTTGGAGGTTATTTTCTTTCAGGGTTTGGACTATTTCCCCCCAAGCTCTTCTCGATTTGAGAGTGTGTTGGTAAGTCTGTCGTTATTTTGATGATTTTTCCTTTGTAGGTGATCTGCTTCTTTTCTCTGGCTGCTTTTAATATTCTGTTCTTGTGGTGGATTTCTGGGATCTTGATTATTATATGTCTGGGTGTAGATCTGTTTTGGTTGAAGGTGGTTGGTATTCTGTATGCCTCATACATCTGTATACCATTTCTTTTTCCTATGCTTGGGAAGTTTTCCTTAATTATTTCTGTGAATAGTCTTTGTAATTCATTTGTGGTTATTCCTGCTTCTTCACTCATGTTTTTTATTCTTAAATTATAAATCCTCTTGTCATCTTCTAGCCTTTGAATTGTTTCTTCCTGGTTCCTTGTTATTTTTAAGAGATCTTTTCTTTCACAATCACACATTATAAATCTCTCTTCAAGTTTCAAAAGGCTAACTTTAGTTTCTGTCAAGGCATTTTGCCAGCTTTCAATGGAGTTTTCAGTTTCCTGGTAATCTCTTTGGATCTGTTTCATGTATTCTAGGTTTTGTTTATATTCATCATCAAAGGTTTCTCTTCCTTTTCTGGGTTCCTCCATTCTTCCATCTGTGTTTTCTTGGGAGAAGTTTATAGGGTTTATCATTTCTTTAATTAATCTTGCCTCACTCAGATTAGAATTTCAGTTTTAAGTTCATCTATGAGGTCACGAAGGTATTTCTTTATGTCTGCTGATGTTGTGGCTAATGTTGCATGATTGCTGCACTGGTTCTCTTCTGTATTTACCTCTCCTAGGCTTATTTTCCAGGGTCAGCAGCTGGAGGGTTTTTTTTGTTTTGTTTTGTTTTTTTTCTGTCTCTTGTCATATTTCTGGATTCTTTCAAACAGGTGTGTTGTGGAAGTCCCTGACCCTCTCCGTATTGCTTACGGTTTTTCTGAAGCATGCTGACTGGGATTTTACTGCTCTCTCCAATTTGCTGTTATCTGAGTTGCATGCAGGGATGATGCAGGCTAGCCTCTAGCCTCTGAGCCAGTCAATCCACAAGTGCCTTCTACAACTTAGCCTGTGCTTTGCAGATGTCAGAGGGTCGGGACAGTTTTGTCCCTGGCTACTGGGTCCCAATCAGGGCCGTGGCTCAGCCCAAGCAGATCCTACCAGTTCTCTTTGGGCCAAGGGTGGCTGACTGATGCCACCACGGTGCCGGGCTCTGCCCCACTCCAAGATGTCCTCCAGCTGGTGACACCCACCATGGGACTCAATCTCCAGCACTCACCAGGAATCAATGTAGTTCTCCACCTTGGCTCCACTCCATACTGCACCGCGTCCTCCCACCAAGGGCCCCGGACTCACCAATTCCCGTTATTGGAGGCCCTGGCTTCAGCATGACCTTTAATCTCCCGACTCCACAGCACTCCCAGCACAGCGCTGACCCATCTCAGTGAGTGCGTTGGGCTCCAGCCCTCCACTCACATTTTTCCTTCCTCTTCCTATTTTTCTTTTCACTTCAATTTCCTCCTGGGTTCATGAGAGTCCCTCTCCACTCATCCAGCCCTCTCTGTGTTGTCAAATTCCAGTGTCTGAGCTGTTTTTCCAGAGAGGCTCTCCACCCAGTGACCTAGCAAGCCACCATCTTCTCTAATCTCCCACTTAACCCATTTTAAAATTCCTGACTCATAAAAATTGTAATCAAGTTCATTATTTGAAGCTGCTAAGATTGGAGTTACTTGTTACACAGCCATATATAACTAATATAGCATTTTAGTACCTTACTCTTAAAAATGAAAGGACAGCCAAAGATTTCTAGACTTGAAGAAAATACCCTGCTTATTAAGAGTTCCAGGAAGAGAATGATGGTCTACCACAACCATGGTGCTAGTTTGTGCCAGGAACAGCTGAGGATTAGATAACTAAAACACCACTAAATTAATTTCCATGATTAGATGATACACAGAGAGCAATGAATGAAAATAAATGTGTGTAAGGCTCAGGATTATGAATTTCAGAGCACTGGAGACACTGGTGTCCTGCAAAGAAGAAATAAAACAAGTCACCCAAAGGCTCAGAGGTCAGAACAGTTGGTACTTCACAGCAGCACCTGCAAGGAAAGAAACACTCAGGCCACAGGCCACACTTCAAAACTCATTGTGGGAACATGATTTCCAGCCTGGCATGCTAGCCTCAACCTAAACCTCAACCAAGCTTAGAGCAGAATAAGTACATTTATGAACATTCAAAATCTCAAAGACCATCTACTTCCCATGAGCAATTATTAGCTATTTATCTGATAGCATCATGCCTCAGCCAGGAGGGGTGTAGACCAAGACAGGTGGAACCTTCAAGTTCCCACACACAGTAGGGACACAGGGAAATCCCAGGAAGAGGATGTCAGGGGGATGTCGGATGACTGAAGGGCAGCTGTACAGCAAATCAGAAGAGCACAGCCAGAGAGAGCAGGGCAGACAGGTCCGGGAGGCACCAGCAATTCTAAGTTCTAGAGGCTTCCTGATGCAGTGATGGTAGGGAGAGAATTTAAGGTACTGCTGAGGAGTTTAAAGACCTGTGTGGTAAAAGATATGCAGAAAGCTAAGCAATTGCTAACTCCTTGGGGAAATTTTTTTAACTAGATGCCATCATATATACTCATTTTTTATATTTACATGGTCATATTAATATAAATGTCACGTATTGGTGTATTGCACACTGTATTTAGATATATCATAACCATTCCAGTCCTATCCTCCTTTTCCAACTTCACACTGAAGAGAGAGCAGATCCCTGCTTTCTCTTAGTAATAATTAGTAGCTTACTAAGAGTCTTCTGCATCTGTTAGTGGATATATTTCTAGATATTTAGGTGTGTATTTTTGGTGGTGTGGTAAATAGTATCGATTTCTAAGTTCATTTTCTGATTGTTCTTGGTGCACAAAAATACAATTATTCTTGCATACTCATCTTGTATCCAGTGACCTTACTAAATTCACTTACTAATTCAGTTGTTTATAGGAAGATCCTTTTGGGTTTTCCACACACAGAATCACATTGCCTATGAACAACATTTTTATTTTCTCCTCTCTGGTTGTTCTTTTATTTCTTCCCCTTGTCTAATTGTGCTGGATAGAAACAAGGATGATAGTGTGTATAATTCTCATCCCCAATCTTGGCATAAGTGATCAATGTCACCTTAAAGAATGATATTAATTAAAACCTACATCATTGGGATAAATTCAACATGGTCATAATATACTTTTTATACATAATGATTTTATTTACTAACATTTTGTTTAGGATTTTTATATCTATGTTCATTAGAAAGATTAGCCTATAGTTTTCTTCTTCTTTTTCATTAAATGTCTTTGTCAGTTTTGGTATTAAAGTTGTACTGCCCTTATCAAATAAGAAAAGAACTATTTCCCCTTGTGTGACTCTTTGCAAGAGTATGTGTGGATTTATTTCTTCCTTAAGTATTTGGAAGCATTCTTAAGAGGCCATTTGAAACTTGTGTTTTCTTTGTGGGAAGTTTTTCAATTAAGGATCAATTTCTTTAAATTATATATGACCCTTCCAATTTTCTATTTCTTCTTGTGTCCATTTTGGGATGTTGTGTTTTCAAAGAAAGTTATCCATTGTGCTTAAATTTTTATATTTATTAGCAAAGAGTTGTTTATGTCTTTTTATTAGTGCCCACTGGATGTATATTGGTCTGGCTTTTACTCCTGCTGCTGGTATATTTTCTGTTTTCCCTCTTGATCTGTCTAACTAAAGTTGAATCAATTGTATTACACTTTTCAAAGAAATAACTTTGTTATTTTTTCTATTGCACATTCATCTCCTAAAACATTTATTTCTTCTCTTTATATCCTCCTTTCTTCTACTTTTTAAAAATTTATTCTGCTCACTCTTTCTTAATTTTTTGTTTTTGTTTTTGGTACTGAGGATCGAACTCATGACCTCACGCTTGGCAGGCAGGTGCTTATGCCACTGAGCTAAGTCCCCAGTCCTTCTATCTTAATTTTTAAGATGTTATGAACATCATTCACTTTCTCAATCTTTTTCTTTTATAAAGGACATGCATTGCTACAAATTTCCCTCCAAGCACTTCAGTAGCACACCAAAAGTTTTTATACATAGCATTTTCACTATAATTCAGGTCCAAATAATATATAATTTCATTTGTGGTTTCTTGGTTCATATATGTGTATTTAGAAATATATTTCTAGCCAGGTGTGGTGGCACATGTTTCTAATCCTAGGACTTGAGAAGCTGAAGCAGGAAGACTGGCACAAATTCAAGGCCAGACTGACCTACGCAAGTGAGTTCGAGGCTACCCTAGGCTACAAAGCAAGAGTCGGAGAAGAAAAGAAGAAGAAGAAGAAGAAGAAGAAGAAGAAGAAGAAGAAGAAGAAGAAGAAGAAGAGGAGGAGGAGGAGGAGGAGGAGGAGGAGGAGGAGGAGGAGGAGGAGGAGGAGGAGGAAGAAGAAGAAGAAGAAGAAGAAGAAGAAGAAGAAGAAGAAGAAGAAGAAGAGAAAGAAGAAGAGAAAGAAAGAAAGAAAAGAAGGAAGGAAGGAAGGAAGGAAGGAAGGAAGGAAGGAAGGAAGGAAGGAAGGAAGGAAATATGTTGCCTAATTTTCAAAAAGTTTAACCATTTTTCAAGAACATATTTCTAGCTTAATTCTTATCAGGGTTTATGGTTTGTGTCTAGATGTTCTCCCAAAGCCTTATGTAATCATAGGGGTGAGCTTCTAGTTTGTGTTAATTTATGGTCCAAAGCTGAGATTATGGCTGTGAATGCTACACCCACCCTGGAACAGGTAGGCTGCATACAATACAAGGGAGGGAAAGAGGCTTACATGCTCATACTTGCCTTTTTTGCTCTTTTGCCTTTGCTATTTTTTGCTGTCATGAACTGTTGCCCTTTGCCATGTGTCACTTTGTTTTACAGTCAGCTGATTATGAACTGAAATCTCCCACAAATTGTGAGCTAAATAAACTTTTCTCTCTTTAATTTTGGATGTTGTATATTTGGTCTCAGCGACAAGAGAAAATTAACCAATACAGAATTTGGTACCAAAGAAGTGGGGTCATTGCTGTACCTGATCATGTGGCTCAAGAGCCTTTGGGAATGGCTTGTGGGAAGTGCTTTGAAAGGTTCAGAGATGTCACCTGAAAGAGTAGAGCTGAAATACCTTAGGATGTTCTATATGGGAGGTTCTGGTCAGAGCTCAGAAAAATCAAAAGTCTGATAGAAATCCTGCTGGTAAAGACCAGGCTTGGGAGGTTTCTGCTGGGATGGACTACATTGTTTGTTGGAGTCTAGATGATGTATTATGGCTTGGCAAAAAGTCTGTCTGCATTTTGCTCATGTCCAGACACTTGGCTTGAGACTAAGATTAAGGGCAGCAGACTAATTAATCCAGCAGAAGAAATTTCAAGGGAGTCGAATGTTGAGGTGATGGCATGTCTATTGTGGGGGAGTTTTAGCCAGATTCATATTGATAATGAAGAGCAAAGAGCCCAACAAAATGATTTAAAATATTCTGAGTTTGGCCATAAAGGAAACTGCAGTAAAGCTGTGGACTGTAAATATACAGCTGAGGAGATCTCAATTGCTGAGAAGGAACAGGAGGATATAAAAGACGGCCTGATGGCATCACAAAAAGAAGCAAGTCTTCACCCTTTGCAACCTCAAAACTACAAAAGTGAAAGTCTTTGCTTTGAGAAAAGAGGTACAGAGCACCATGTTCCAGAATGGTGGGCCATGCCAGGTTCCAGAATGGCAGCAACCTAGAGAATTTGTTCCTCAGAATCAGATTCAGAGTGCCCAGAAATCCAAGCACTCAAGCCCTACAGCAAAAGAGAAGAAAGCCTGGCTATTGCTCCAGCTAGCAGTAGGCCTTGACATCATCCATATAGTACTGGCTTTAGGCACATGCAGAATGCTAGAGTTCAGAGGTTTAAAAGGCTTCCACCCAGATTTTAGAAGGCTTGGGGGCACAGACAGTGCAACCCTGAGAGGGCAGTGGTGTGAAGCTGTATAAGTGAGGTGGAATGCTTTGGTTTATGTTTAGATGTTCCCCTAAAGCCTCATGCAGTCATGGGGGCAGGCTTCTACAGTTTGTGATTGATTCATGGTCCAATGCTGGGATTATGGGTGTGAATGTTATACCCACCTTGGAGCAGGTAGCCTGAATAAATATAAGGGAGAGAAAGAGGCTTGCTTGCTTGCTCCACTCTTTTTGCTCTTGCTGCTTTTGCTGTTTTCCACTGCCATGAACTGTTGCCCTCTGCCATGTGTCACTCTGCCTTGGAGCCAGCTGATTATGGACCGAAACCTCCACAAACTGTGAGCTAAATAAACCTTTCCCTCTTTAATTTTGAGTGTTGAGTATTTTGTCTTAGCAATGAGAGAATAGAGCCAACACATCAGAGAATATACAGAGTTTGCTTCTCACACAAAATATATACACACTTCAGGAAAAGAAACATAGTATGATATATTTTCAAATGGTTTTATGTGTGATTTAAAAGGGAAGCATAATCTCAGATTTGGGGGTTGGAATCTTCTTCATATGTCCATTAAGTCAATTTTTAAAAATCTTATGTTCTCCTATTTATTATTTAACTACTGTTCTGAGAGAAATGTGTAGGAAATATCTACTGTGATAGATTCATTTATTTTTTCCATTTCTTTAATTTTTTGCTTTTCTAAGTCTATATTATTAGTTGCACTTAAATTTAGAATTTTTTTCAATTCACTTAAGGGAAAACATTATATTATATAAGTATACATATATGTGTATGTGTATATATACAAAATAGATTACAAGATAGATAACTACACTACTAATCTCTGTAAGTTCATCAAAAATAACAGTTTGTACAGTCATTCTTTAAGTTTAATAACTTTTTCATACTTAAATTTAGAGCTTTATATCTTCTAGTGAATTGACACTTTGATCATCGTTGACTCCTGTTTTAGTCATAAAATATATTCGATTCTTAGTTTACAACTAAATATTTTTATCATAAATGAATAGTTTTCTTAAATGGTTTTGTTATGGCTATTAAGATGGTAGCATAACTATTTTATTTATCCTGATAATTTAGTATGTTGGTTTTCTGTTGACGGTAATGAATCACCCAAGTTAATAACTTACAGCAACACAGTTTATCATCCATGGTTCTATAGTTCAAACATCCACATTGAGTTTCCTTGGGAGTCAGTATTACTATGTTCTTTTCTGGAAGTGCTAGTGGGTCCTCGGTTTTTGTGTCTTTTCTAACTCCTAGAAAGACTTTCTGCCTTCCTTATGCCACGATTCCTTCCATTGGCAGAACTGCCAGTGGCCAGCTGAGTTGGGCACATCTCATCACTCTGGCTCCTTTTTCCCTCTTGCACTTTTAAGATCCCTGTGATAAGAGCCTACATGGACAGTCCAGGAAAATCTCCCCTGTTTTAAGGTCAGCTGATTAGCAAACTTAGTTTCCTTTACTGTAGTAATTTCCTCTTGCCATGTAAAATAAGCACAGAATCGAGGTATTAGAACACAGACAATATTGGAAGACCTTTGTTGCACCTACCATGTGCGGGGAATACCATTGCTTCCCAAGTGTTGGATCAATCTGGCATTTCCCTGAGATAGATTCTCAGGGTTATGGTGTAGTGTCCTTTTTCTTTATTAATAGATTTGATTTGCTGGTATTTTATAATGATCTTTGTAGTTATGTTTTTGAAGGATATTTGTCTGATGTTTTAGTAGCTGTTTGCCAGCCTAACAGAAGTTGCAAAGAATTCTTTTCTATTTTCTGGAAGAATTTAGTTATTAGTTTATCTCTTTTGCTTGTGTGTTTTTTAAACAGCCTTATTGAGATGTAAATTGCAGGTCATAAGTTCGATCTATACCCTTTAATAAATGAAATAAGCTCTTAGGGTTGAATCCTCTTGCCTCAGCCTCCCAAGGGCAGGGTTTACAGGCATGTGTCACCACTCCTGGCTCTCAAATAAGTGTCTTTACATCAACATCCACATCTGTATACATGTTTTCATATATACAGTGTAGGTACCTACACAATTGCTGTGTTGAATACTCAATTCTTATCCCCTTCATACCAAGAATACAACTGATTAAAAATTGCACAGCAGTTTTAAATACACATTTAAGGAAAATATAATATGTGAATGACTAGTAAACACATGAAAATGTGTTCAACATCTTTAGTTACTAGGGAAATACAAAGCAATATCACAAGGAATTACTATAACATATCAACTAGAATGGCTATAATCTAGAAGTTTAATGCCTACCAAGTATTGGTGAAGACGTGCTTGAACTTTTACCCTCTGATGTTACCAGTAGCAATTTAAATGGCTTAACCACTCATGGAAAACATTTTGAAAGCCAGGAATGGAGGTACATACCTATAATCCCAGCACTTTGGAAGACTGAAGCAGGAGGATCGCAAGTTCAAGCAGGGAAAATTTAGCAATTTAGCAAAATCCTGTCTTATAAGGGTAGGAGAGGTATTGTTGCTCAGTGTAAAAGCCCTGGGTTTGATCCTTAGCACCAAAGCCCTGGGTTAGGAGGGGTTGGGGGGTAGAGGAGTTGTACAATAGCTTGGTACTTTAAAAAGTTAACATTTGTAAGAGCCAAATCTACCCCAGGATCTGTACATAACCTTACTAGGTGTTCACTTGCTGACTGAAGGCTTTGTGGTGTTGCTGAAGTAGGGAGATTAGGGTGGGACAAAACTAGGTTAGTCAATAAGTATGACCTATCAGTCATGGAGACCCAGGACATATCCAGAGTATAGAACCCAGGATGACTACTCAGGTCCCAAACCCTGTACTGGGACCAATCAGAAAAGTGCCATTTTCAATTCTCCATTTACATCTTTCATAGAAACCAAGAGGACTTTGATAGGATGGTTTAAATCTGAAGTCAGGGACTTCCAGGAGAACATGGCAGACAGATAGCAGCAACTACGGAGGCTCTCTGAAACACCCAGCTTAGAATTCAGGAATGGTGCTGAGTAAGGAATCATAAGCAAGAGGAGATATGCCCCGGTGATCCAAGAATGAAATGGGCTGAGAGAAACCAACTGGGAATGCAATCCTGGTGCTATAACAGGAACAGATAAAGCCTCCATGTGGAAGCTGGATCCTGTGCCATTGGAAGCCGCGATTTGGGTTTCCCGCCGGACGGCGGCTGCCTCTGCATCGGCTCGGCAGGGAGAGAGACGCGCGGAAGCTCTGAGAACGGGGATCAGTGAACAGGGTTGAGAGCGGGACGGGCGGGGACGTGCATCCTCCTCCAGTGAGTGAGGGAAAACTGGGTCTCTT